AATGCGCCACTTGTAAGCAACCAATGTGCCACTTATGGCGCATGCGCCACAGGTTGGCCATGCTTGGGCTAATCCTTGCTAAGACCCACGGGCTCCATTCGCTCTTTATTATTGTTATTTGTTATTTTGAACGATTTTATTTGAGAGATAAATCAGTTGTTTACAAGTGAGAGATATTTATTGGTGTATCCTTAAAAAGGTTAAAAACAGCCAAAGGTCGTACTCGAGTGGAAGGAACAGCAAGATGGGCGTACATGGAAGAAAGAGATGTTTATTATAAAAGAGAATACACTACTGAAAGACAGGGTGTCGACTAACACTTTCTGAAGCCAGTCAGACAGATAGACAGACTCTGGTATGTCCTGTGCACACGACATATATTACTTATATAGTCAGTCCACTATCGGTAACAGGGAGAGTGGAGCATTCCATTATAACATTAATGAACAGCGTTGGCGTCATGTATGGTAACTATATGAAAGTCTCGATCTGCAGAAGCTATCTAAGAACATGAGCTGATTGTTTTTATGTTAATGTCTAGTTTTTTATTGTTATTATGATTCTGAACGAAAACAAGGTTTTCTTTGTTTTTGGATGTCTGGAAGAAAATTATTTTTCATCAGGAATCAATACCTAATTAAATCGAAATAACTTTTTTTTTTCCTGTAACAAAAGTAAAAAGGAAGTATTTTAACAACAACTAATCTTTTTTTTTTTAATTTGTTATTTAAAGTGATTTTCGTCGTATATGAACAGTCTCCGATGGCCTTGTAAGAGACACATAACAAAAAAGCGACGGATTGTACAAGCAATAAACACGCTGTGTAAACAATTAAGCACATTAAAAATTTTTATTAGCCTTGAACAAAAGATGGCGCAGAGAATCGTTAAATCTAACCAGTATATCAAAGAATCAGAAGAAAGAGATTAATATCCGGAAATAATACATTTGGGTGGAACTAGACTTCTCTCTGCTAACTGGTTAATATTTCTTCGTAGCAACTATTTTATCTGACACGGTTATCGCAATTGCTATTAACTGGGACGTGATTATTTTGCCAAGTGCTTTCGTACAATTGATTAACACATTCACAATTTTTTTAAGAAGCAGCAATAACTCTAAGACGTGCTGGGTGAGAGTAGCCATAATTCCATGTTTATGTACCGAAGAGGAAGAAGATAAGTTTGATTGAGGCCCGTATTGAACTCTCTCTCTCGATCGATATATATATATATATATATATATATATATATATATATATATATATATATATATATATATTATAAATTAATTGATTTAAAATATGTTTTTTTTTCGCTACACAGTTCTAACCATGTTTCAAAAGCTAAAAGCTTCGAATTTAATTTTGTAATTAAATTAAAGACATTAGTTCCATTTCATCCTCAAGCGAATTTTGGAGTAACTTATTTTTAATTTTGGAGTAACTTATTTTTTAAATAATATATATTTCAAAATTCGCTTGAGAATGGAATGGAACTAATGTCTTTAATTTAATTAGAAAATTAAATTCGAAGCTTTTACCTTCCATTTTTGAAACATGGTTAGAACTGTGTAGCGAATAAAAACATATTTTAAATCAGTTAATTTATAATATTAATACCTCTGTAAATTTACATTGAGCACTATTTTGTAAAAATAAAAATATCTATAAGATCACCAGATTATATATCTTACTGTTCTTTCTTTATATATATATATATATATATATATATATATATATATATATATTACAGCAAAAAATTACCTCAACATAGAGTATAGTCTATTTCAAGCAGTTCTGTAAGCGGCTATCATCAACCCCTAAGTCTCTGTCTCGGAGTATTGTTTTAAATTTATTTTCAATGTCAGTCCTCCTCTAGCAGATGCCTTGTTTATAAGAATGGGTTTGTGTTAGAGACTGTCGGGGTGTAAGGCATCTTAACCCCGGAGTAGCGGTCTGGGGTTGAGTTTATTTATGGCCAGGGCCTTTCGTTGTTTTATGCTCTGTTATAATAAATACATCGCGCTTTCTGTAGATCAGTTTTAATAATATTACTACCTGGATTATATACTAACGCATATATTACCTGTACTATATATATATATATATATATATATATATATATATATATGTGTGTGTGTGTGTGTGTGTGTGTGTGTGTGTTATAATGGAATATCCCACACTCCCTACCGCCTAAGTGGACTGACTATATCATTAACTATATATGGTGAGCACAGGATATATCTGGGGGCTTACCTCGGGAATTACTTGACTGCCATCCGATTCCCTGTCTTCAGTCGAGTATTCTCTTTAACAATAGACCTCTCTTCTTTCATCTTCGCGCGTGTTACTGTTCCTTTACTAGAGTATCACCTTTGTCGGTTTGTAACCTCTTTAAGATACAACAATATATATATATATATATATATATATATATATATATATATATATATATATATATATATATACGTGAGTGGTGAACTGCTCGGTCGTATTCGACGTATGAGTGTCAAGCAGCTCAGTTCCTAGGAGCCGACAGCCCAGACAGCAGCACATGAGATTTGATTATAGTGGTGAAGTCATTGTGCAGAACCATCCACACTTTTTGAAGGGCTGAATACAGAGACCTGGTGCTCTACGTGCCACAAGGTCCTCAAACAACCCTCCGCAGGTTTTGAATTCAGAGTTGTCCTTCTCCCAGCCCAAGGCTTTTTAGAACCCAAACCAGTCCTACTATTTAACCATAGCTGGATGGAGGAGAAGAGTACTGATATATATATATATATATATATATATATATATATATATATATATATATATATATATATATATATACGTGTCTGTGTGCTTGTGTATGTATGTTTGTACAACGTATAATAATATCTTACACAAAAGAGAAGATGATGGGACCAAGTGGAAAATTTTATTAAAGACGCGTTTCATCGGAGAAGCGTATGGTCTTTTTTTTTTTTTTTTTTTGTCAGTTTAAATGGAAAAAAGACAAAACTATGTGCCAGGAAATACTTTGTGGGTATCATAAATCGAATTAATTTCCCTAGCTCAACACCTGTATATATATATATATATATATATATATATATATATATATATATATATATATATTATACACAGAGACAAAGACTAAAACACACACAACCATATATATATATATATATATATATATATATATCTTTTAACGGATTCGATAGATTTCTTTGACCTTAACGAGAGACATATCTCTGAAACTTGAATTTTTTCTGATAAGTCGTTTGAACTTATTTTTATCTATCTATCTGTGTATCTATCTGTCTGACTTTTGTAGAGGCATGTGTTTGAGTAGACCTATTGTATGGGGAATTACGTCTAAAGTAGTGTGCATTTGAGAGAATTGATGACAGGTATATATATATATATATATATACATATATATATATATATATATATGAGCGTGTGTGTGTATTATAAAATAATTCACGAACAAAAATAAGAAAAATGTTCCAGAGGGGCGTAATATTAGTTTTGATAATAATATGTTGGACGAAATCAGTGGGGTTTCGATGGGCAGTCCCCTGGGTCCGGTTCTAGCCAACATTTTTGTGGGTTTTTATGAGAGACATTTTCTTTGAAAAAAACAAAAAAAAAAAATCCGTAAGCCTTATGAATATTTACATTACGTCCATGATATATTTTCTATCTTCGATTCTATCAGCGACGCCACGACTTTGCACACCCAATTCACTTCCCTTCATCCAGCTTTGCAATTTACTAAGAAAATGGTGAACAATGGCACTCTGCATTTCTTGAATGTTCTTGTTGAACGTAAAGATGGTTTGTTTATTACAAGTATTTATCTCAAACCAACGTTCACTGGTCAGCTTACAAATCAATTATTTTGTACCAAAGTCCCGTAAAATTTAATATCGACTCTAGACCATCGTGTAACCAGGGACTTGAGAAAATTAACGTCACCGAGCGCACTAGTGAATGTAATATTAAACTTTTTAATGGAATATTGCTGCCATATAAGGTCTGGTGCCCCCACTGTTCGCCTTAAGATCCTCGACAAGATCCAGAGAAGGATAAGCAGGGTGGCTGGTCCTGATCTGGCATCTCGTCTACAGTCGCTCTCTCACAGACGTGCCGTCGCCTCCCTCTGTCTTTTCTAAAAATACTTGCACGGTAACTGCTCCGACGAGCTACTTTCGCTAATTCCCAGAATGCATGAATTTAAGCCTGCTTTCACTGTAGAAATTGTTAAATGTGACCGTCTCTTCTACTCCAATAGCTTCAAGTCTCGCACCTCCCGTCTGTGTAATTCCCTTCCTATTACTTGTTTCCCTGATAGCTATAATTTCCGAAAATTCAAATGTAATGTCAATCGACATCTTCAGATGCCCTGGCCTATTCCCTTGTCCTTCTCTTCATCCTTTCCTCCATCACGCCTCTTTACTCTCGCTCCCATTCTGTAACCCCTTGTCTACTAGTGACATCATGTCTTGCATGGGAGGGGGTGGGGGAATGCTAAAAAAAACAAAAAGGAAAGAACCGTATTTTTTGGCCCCTCTTTAGGTCCCGTTTATTTAAAGTCACGATGGCTGGGTAGAAATAGTCAAATACTCACTGAGAGAGAGAGAGAGTCAGTTTCAGTTTTAAGTTTCAGGCCTATAAAATTACGCGTTGTTTTTGAGACCTGTTCGGTTTTCCCTTCTTTTTTCAAAGATGTTCTGTCTTATTTACAAAATAGTTCCTTAGCATATGCATTTAAATGCTAGTGTGAATATATAAGACGGACCAGTCAGAGACCGGAGACCCGTATTGGCCAAAACGGCCAAATACAAAGGCAGGTAATTTCAGTCTTTCTTCCAGGGCAATTGGACAGTATATATATATATATATATATATATATATATATATATATATATATATATATAACTTTTAACGACTCGATACATTTCTTTGACCCTAACTAGAGACATATATCTGAAACTTGAATTTGGTATGATAACTCGTTTGAACATTTTTTTTTTATCTATCTATCTATCTATCTATCTATCTATCTATCTATCTATCTATCTATATTTTTGTAGAGACACGTGTTTGAGTAGACGTACTGTATGGCCAATTACGTCTACCGTACTGTGCATTTCACAGACTTGATTACGAGTATATATATATATATATATATATATATATATATATATATATATATATATACGTGTTTTAGTGGACCCAGCAATTTTCAATCTGCTTGTATGAATCATCTTCAAGAAGCGAGAGCAAGATCTAAAAGGTCAGCCAATCTAACAGTGATCTCATCTCACAATTCTCTCACCTGCTCCATATGTGACCTTCTTTGTAAATCACTAGCGGGTTTTAAATGCCACTTAAGATTATCGCATAAACTTTCATAACTGAATCAATAAGCTGCCAGATCCTCATACGTCGAAACCGACGGGAGAGTCCATTATTATTATATTATTATATATGATAAAATAATTCACGAACAAAAATAAGAAAAATGTTCCAGAGGTGCTTAATATTAGTTGTCATATTAATATGTTTGCCAAAATCAATCGTATTCCGATGGGCAGTCCCCTCGTTCCGTTTCTAGCCAACATTGGACAACTCGAGCCGTGCTCATGAATATAAGGACGATTTTTTTCATTATTTTACACAGAGCTAGATCCGTCTATTCTTTAAAGATTCTAGAGGCGGTCTAGATTAAGATGCATAAACCAAACCCGTGTAAAACCAAAATAGAATTTATTAACTCATTTCCGTGTGTTGTAGTGGGTGAGTAACATTTTCTTCTTTTTTTTTTATACTCACTCGGATCGTTTTGCTTCTTTTCATTTGTGAAGTAATTTATTAATAAATTGTTTTAGCCCTGGTTCGAAATAATCCCAACCTCCTCATTTACGTTTAGTGAATATCGTCCTTTGTCTCGTCTCCTTTACACCAAAGTTATCATTCAGAAAACGTGTTGGTTGCATAAATTCTAAAGGAGAATGTCATTATAACTTTTTAAGTCGTTAGCGGGTTTATTCACACAATAAGTACGTAAAAATTCGCCTTTCTTTCAGCCGTACGCTGATGGCTTAGTAGGGAGAATCTTTGGCATACAGTATATATATGTATCAGTTCATTTTTCTTTCATACAACATTTACAAGCTGTAATATCTATCAAATAAAATTAAAATAACATATATATATATATATATATATATATATATATATATATATATATATATATATGTGTGTGTGTGTGTGTGTGTGTGTGTGTGTGTGTGTGTGTGTGTGTGTGTGTGCAAATATATAGAAAAATAGGAAAGAAAACATTAGGTAAATAATCCGAAGTTCTTTTAGCATTTTTCTTTTTACTTTAAAAAAAAACACTGCCCAATACAAAAGTAGAGCCTAAATTATATTTTTTTTTTCAAAAAATTTCGCTTGCGGATGAAATAGAGCTTGATTCTTTAATTCAATTTAATTTTAATAATGATATTGAAGATTTTGGCTCGTGTTTTTGAAACATGAGTACTCTTATGTAGCGAATGAATCATATTTAAAAAAAATATAATACATCCACATCCACACACACACACATATATATATATATATATATATATATATATATATATATGTTGCGTCTAGCATGAAACAGCCTGTCGCCTCTTCTGAGTGTTGACTTCAATGTTCACTATATATATATATATATATATATATATATATATATATATATATATATATATATATACCCGGTGTACATGGCTGAATAGTATAATTGCACCATCTTGTCTAGAAATGTCTGCCAGCGTCCCTGCTTGTTTGCATCATCCGTTGGTATACTAAGCTACCACCTCTCACCTCATCTATTTATGGGATGTCATTTGCAAGTGTTTGATTGTTCTTAATATAAGGATTCCATTGATAAAACCTTCATGTATGGTCGTTGCTCGGGGTTAAATTTTGTCAATGTTTTAGATATTCAGTAAGTTTACTATGGCTGTATTCACTTTCAAATAGTTTGGCTGTGTTCACAAATCTAATAATCAAACAAAAACAGGGATGAAGCCTCACAGCTTGATTTAACTGCAAGTGCAAACGCATGACCTTCGCCTTCTTCTTCGCTCTTTTACTGTAAAGCTGGCGTTAATACCAGGTTCTCCGGTAATTTCTTTTAGCCTTTTTAATGCTGCAATAATCCTTCTAAAACTATCTTTCAATCAAAGGTTGTTCGAATGCCAATTTAGGATGGAATCATATGAAGAATCGATTTGTTAAATAGCAAAAGCCGATTTGCGGCCTAGTTTGTCGCAGATTTCGTCCATTTAAATGAAATAATCTAAACTAAACATTCACGCATTATAATTTGTGTGTCATATGTAATTTACATGGCGAAGTTGGAAAGCGTCGAATGATAAACTAGGGTACTATAGCCGAAAAAACGGGTTTGTTTAACATTTTGTTTCTGGTTTTTCATTATAAGCGGGTAAGCGAGCAGGACAAAAACCACACTATCTCTATTGCGACAATTTTATAGAAAATCGGATAAAAAATGAGAAAGATACTCAAGTTTTTTTTATTTTTTGCGTGAATCCAATGGCACAGGAAAACTATAATGTAGACTACATAAACCTCGTAACAGAAGCTGATGTTTTGCATAAAGGGCAAAGAACATCAGCTCATCCAATTTGTTCGTGTGCAACTTTGTCTGGGTTTTTGCAAAAAGTCGTTTTCAGTTTTATCAATTTTTCTGCCAAACCCGGGGGTTTGAAACGTTGGTCTTGACATAATTTACTAAATTTGCAACACTTTCTTCGAAATCGGTCACGAAACTGGACGTGCATTTAATAGCACACATACACACACAAACGCACATGTTTTCTGTTATATATATATATATATATATATATATATATATATATAGCAGTCATATCCAGCTGGTCAATGAGAAAAAAGCGTTCAATTAGAATGGAGCAAAACAGCATCATGTTTAGATATAAGAGAGTCTATCTTCATCAATTACTTTAAAGTACTTTCATTAAAAAAACATTTTAAATTAATGCAGTCACTGATATAACAGAATTACTCTGTATTTTTTCAGTCGAAGTCAGCCGAGGACATGGATGTTTTGGTTGTTTTGTTTTATGGCATATCAAAACCTCAGTGGGTCATTTAAGGCCAGCAAAATTTTGGAAAACATCGGATGAAAATACCGATGAGTTATGGCCGAAAAAACAGGGTTTTTTTTTAAATAGATCTTCCTAGCTTTTCGTTATACGCGGTGAAGCGAACAGGACTAAAACATCACTATTTTATTTTTTGAAGGAAATCGGATAAAAAATGAGAAGTTTTTTTTTTTTATTTTAATTCGTCTGAAAATTTTTTAGAAATCTTTTGCGTGAATCCAATGGCACAGGGAAACTATAATGCACACTACATAAACCTCGTAACAAGAGCTGATATTTTGCATAAAGTGCAAAGAACATCAGCTCATCCAATAAAAAATTTGTTCGTGTGCAACTTTGTCTGGGTTTTTGCAAAAAGTCATATCCACCCTGAGTTTTATCAATTTTTCTGTCAAACCCGGGGGCCAGGATATTGTAAAGTTGGTTCTACCATAGTTTGGTAACATTGCAACAGGTGTGTCCAATTTCATCGAAATCCATCAGGAAATGTGGACGTACATAAATAGCATACACACACATAGACACACAGATATTGATGATGAGATTGATTCTAATGATGAGATTGATTCTACATCATTACTATAATTTCTGGAGAAAAATGAAGCATTTCAGTATTACTCCATGATCTTGCCGATGTGACCTCCATCTTCTGGTTTTCTCCTTCTATATTTTGGATAGGAGCCATTCATTTGTTCAAATTTAATTTAAATCAGAAGGAAAAATCAGTTAGGAAGGGGGTTGTATCCTCCGGGGACCCCTTTTGACCAAAATGAAATATACTTATCCAATTATCATGGGTAATTTACTTTTCAGAATATATATATATATATATATATATATATATATATATATATATATATATATATATATATATAAATAAATGGATTTAAAATATGTTTTTTCCGCTACACAGATCTATCCATGTTTCAAAAATAGAAGTTAAAGCCCCGAATTTAATTTTGTAATTAAATTAAAGACATTAGTTCCATTTCATCCTCAAGCGAATTTTGGAGTAATTTTTTAAAATTACTGGGTTTTAAAGACACAGCTAAAATCACGTTTCCATGGTTACAGAATATTCTACTTCAATTGGACAAGGGATATCTTGGTTTTCCTTATGTCAGTATCATTGTATCAGTTATTAGCTACAATTTGGTAAGGGGTAGGGATGTATTTTCAATGAAAACTGACATCCGTTCAATGCATGTCGTCTGGATTTTTTTTTAAAAATTATTGTTAACGGTAAAAATTCTACGGCATTTTTTCTATTTATAAATTTAAAGATTTTTGGGTGTTCAGATCATAATACTTTTTATTTAACTACGATTTGAAATATTCTCATTTTAATTTTTATTATACTATATTTTTTTAAGAACAGTTAATTGTATTAGACTCCATTATATTATGCAGGATTATAATATAATTTATAATATTATGCTCTGTAAATTTACATTGAGCACTATTTTGTAAAAATAAAAATATCTATAAGAACACCGGATTATATATCTTACTGTTCTTTCTTTTTATATATATATATATATATATATATATATATATAAGTCATACCCAACTGGCCGATCAGAAAAATTGCTGAGTTAGAATGGAGCAAAAGCAGCGACGGCTACCTTCTTCAATTACTTTAAAATACTTTCATTAAAAACATTTTAACTTAATGCAGTTATTGATATAACAGAAGTTTGTATTTATTCAATCGAAGTTCGCTGAGGTCATTAAGGGGCAAATCAGGCAATATGAAGACCCACTTCAGACCACAATTATTTTGGAGTTTTTCAAATTCATTTTGCCAGTGTGCTACCAGGGATGTAAAAGAGGATACATTTATAATGCAATTGTTAAGTTTGATGAAAATTGGTTGAAAAATCAAAGAAAAATAAGAAAGAAACCAGTAAAAATCGCCATTTTTCGCTATTTACGCGGGTTTTCACTATATGGGTGGAAACGTTCATCAAGTAACTGTTAAACAATCAACTTAGTGTTGGCTACAATTGAGTGAAATGTGTGTTAGATTGCTTGAAAACTGTGGGGGTTTTAGTTTAAAATTTGTGTTGAAATTGATTTGTGTTGAAATAGATTTTTCGTTTCTCGCGGGTTTTGCTAAACGTTGTGGCGTAGAAATAAAAGTGACGTATCGTTGAGCTCGCCATGATGTAAGTAACCTATATATCGAATATGAACGAAATCGGAGAAAAAATTTGAATTTATTGATTTTTGATCGGCTCTATTGATTATTGTTTTCTTTTTTTTAATTATCGATTGTTTATGCTAAGAACCTATCTATTACATGGTATAATGTATATGCCGAGTTTGGACAAAATCAGATGAATGGATCTCGAGTGAAAAGGTATCACACAAACAGACAGACATACTCTGTTTTATATAGAGAGATATATCATTTCAATTTTTGAATATATATGTATATATATATCTTATTTCAATTTTCGAAATTTCAACGGTTCGAAATTCCAATCCTCTGAAGAACGACGGAACGTTGTGAATATAGCAACAAAGATGGGGAAAATAGTCCGAAGCATGTAAACAGTGTAAATTAATTTCCTGGTATTTGTTCGTTTTCGAAACTGCGTTAAGGCGAGACAACAAACAACTGATAAAATAGCACAAGCGGTAAATTCGTTGAGTAAACTTTTAAAACGCACTTTAAGATTTTATTAACCTTGTAGAAAAGATGGCGCAGAGAATCGTTGAACCTAAACAATATATCAAAGATTCTGAAGAAAACGATCAATATCCGGAACAAATATATTTGGGCAGAACTGGTACTGTCTCTGCTGACTCTTTATTATTTCCCTGCGTCTACCATTATCTTTGACACCAATTTCTATCTACAGACATTTCGTTGAATTTTAATGAGCCTTGGCAACCTATTCGGTAAAGACCGAAGCCATGTGAATTCAAAACAAGGAAATATGGCGATTTGCTGTATCTTTTCTTTTTCTGCAGAATATTAAATTTACTTCTTCTTTCCTATCTTCCAAATTCTTCTATTTTCGGTATTCGCTTAGCTTAGCATTGTACGGCATAGTGCCAAAAAATAAGTATAGACTTCGGCAATATGCAATGTAGGTTGATGGTTATCTCCCCTTTAGGGACATTTTGATAGAGACCTAACGTCGATTGCCGTCTTCTGCTGAATTGTTTTATTTTTTTTTGCATCACTATCATCCCAAGCGGCTGGGATTGAAGAATGGAGAGAAGAGTTCGAATTCCAGTCAATACATTCAATTACATACTAATACCCTTGAGAAAGGTATGAATCCACTTCTTGTATGGGTAAATAGCAGGACAGACCAGGTTCTATACCCATGGCAACTGGTCTACCGCAGAAAGAAATGACAACGTATTGCGGGGGAAAAAATATGCCTCGTCAGTCATGTATCTAAAGATACATGATTGCCTAAGCGTATATAACGCATGGCGCATAACTGACTGAATTATGTATTATTGAGGAATCGGAGAGCCGAGTTCGAATTCCAGTCGAATCCATTACATTCACTTACGTGCTAATATCCTTGGGAAATGTATGAATTCTCTTCATCTCATCCTAGCTATGGATAAATAGGCATGGCTGACAACTGGTCTACCGCAGAAAGAAATGACAACGTATTGCGGGGGAAAAAATCTGCCTCGTCATCTAAAGATACCTGATTGCCTGAGCGTATATCATCAAGAGCGTTCTTCCCCCAGCTATGGGTAAATAAAATTTAGGAGAGACCAGGTTCTATAGCCTATGGATGACAACTGTTCTACCGCAGAAAGAAATGACAACGTATTGCGGGGGGAAAAATCTGCCTCGTCAAAAGATACCTGATTGCCTGAGCGTATATCATTCCCCCCCTTCTTCCCCCAGGGGTAAATAGCAGGAGAGACCAGGTTCTATAGCCTTGATGACAACTGTTCTACCGCAGAAAGAAATGACAACGTATTGCGGGGGAAAAAATCTGCCTCGTCATCTAAAGATACCTGATTGCCTGAGCGTATATCATGCAAGCCACATGACTGACTGAAATCCTCTTCTTCCCCCCCCCCAGCTATGGGTAAATAGCAGGAGAGACCAGGTTCTATAGCCTTGGATGACAACTGTTCTACCGCAGAAAGAAATGACAACGTATTGCGGGGAAAAAATCTGCCTCGTCATCTAAAGATACATGATTGCCTGAGCGTATATCATGCATGCCACATGACTGACTGAAATCCTCTTCTTCCCCCCCAGCTATGGGTAAATAACAGGAGAGACCAGGTTCTATAGCCTTGGATGACAACTGTTCTACCGCAGAAAGAAATGACAACGTATTGCAGGGAAAAAAATCTGCCTCGTCATCTAAAGATACATGATTGCTTGAGCGTATATCATGCATGCCACATGACTGACTGAAATCCTCTTCTTCCCCCAGCTATGGGGTAAATAGCAGGAGAGACCAGGTTCTATAGCCTTGGATGACAACTGTTCTACCGCAGAAAGAAATGACAACGTATTGCGGGAAAAAAATCTGCCTCGTCATCTAAAGATACATGATTGCCTGAGCGTATATCATGCATGCCACATGACTGACTGAAATCCTCTTCTTCCCCCCAGCTATGGGTAAATAGCAGGAGAGACCAGGTTCTATAGCCTTTTATGACAACTGTTCTACCGCAGAAAGAAATGACAACGTATTGCGGGGAAAAAAATCTGCCTCGTCATCTAAAGATACATGATTGCCTGAGCGTATATCATGCATGCCACATGACTGACTGAAATCCTCTTCTTCCCCCAGCTATGGGTAAATAGCAGGAGAGACCAGGTTCTATAGCCTTTATGACAACTGTTCTACCGCAGAAAGAAATGACAACGTATTTTTTTGGAAAAATCTGCCTCGTCATCTAAAGATACATGATTGCCTGAGCGTATATCATGCATGCCACATGACTGACTGAAATCCTCTTCTTCCCCCAGCTATGGGTAAATAGCAGGAGAGACCAGGTTCTATAGCCTTGGATGACAACTGTTCTACCGCAGAAAGAAAACTACAACGTATTGCGGGGAAAAAATCTGCCTCGTCATCTAAAGATACATGATTGCCTGAGCGTATATCATGCATGCCACATGACTGACTGAAATCCTCTTCTTCCCCCCAGCTATGGGTAAATAGCAGGAGAGACCAGGTTCTATAGCCTTGGATGACAACTGTTCTACCGCAGAAAGAAATGACAACGTATTGCGGGGAAAAATCTGCCTCGTCATCTAAAGATACATGATTGCCTGAGCGTATATCATGCATGCCACATGACTGACTGAAATCCTCTTCTTCCCCCAGCTATGGGTAAATAGCAGGAGAGACCAGGTTCTATAGCCTTGATGACAACTGTTCTACCGCAGAAAGAAATGACAACGTATTGCGGGGAAAATCTGCCTCGTCATCTAAAGATACATGATTGCCTGAGCGTATATCATGCATGCCACATGACTGACTGAAATCCTCTTCTTCCCCCCCAGCTATGGGTAAATAGCAGGAGAGACCAGGTTCTATAGCCTTGATGACAACTGTTCTACCGCAGAAAGAAATGACAACGTATTGCGGGGAAAAAATCTGCCTCGTCATCTAAAGATACATGATTGCCTGAGCGTATATCATGCATGCCACATGACTGACTGAAATCCTCTTCTTCCCCCCAGCTATGGGTAAATAGCAGGAGAAAGGTTCTATAGCCTTTTTTATGACAACTGTTCTACCGCAGAAAGAAATGACAACATATTGAGGGAAAAAATCTGCCTCGTCATCTAAAAGATACATGATTGCCTGAGCGTATATCATGCATGCCACATGACTGACTGAAATCCTCTTCTTCCCCCAGCTATGGGTAAATAGCAGGGAGAGACCAGGTTCTATAGCCTTGGATGACAACTGTTCTACCGCAGAAAGAAATGACAACGTATTGCGGGGAAAAAATCTGCCTCGTCATCTAAAGATACATGATTGCCTGAGCGTATATCATGCATGCCACATGACTGACTGAAATCCTCTTCTTCCCCCCCCAGCTATGGGTAAATAGCAGGAGAGACCAGGTTCTATAGCCTTTTATGACAACTGTTCTACCGCAGAAAGAAATGACAACGTATTGCGGGGAAAAAAAAATCTGCCTCGTCATCTAAAAGATACATGATTGCCTGAGCGTATATCATGCATGCCACATGACTGACTGAAATCCTCTTCTTCCCCCCCAGCTATGGGTAAATAGCAGGAGAGACCAGGTTCTATAGCCTTGGATGACAACTGTTCTACCGCAGAAAGAAATGACAACGTATTGCGGGGAAAAAAATCTGCCTCGTCATCTAAAGATACATGATTGCCTGAGCGTATATCATGCATGCCACATGACTGACTGAAATCCTCTTCTTCCCCCCCAGCTATGGGTAAATAGCAGGAGAGACCAGGTTCTATAGCCTTTTATGACAACTGTTCTACCGCAGAAAGAAATGACAACGTATTGCGGGGAAAAAAATCTGCCTCGTCATCTAAAGATACATGATTGCCTGAGCGTATATCATGCATGCCACATGACTGACTGAAATCCTCTTCTTCCCCCCCCCAGCTATGGGTAAATAGCAGGAGAGACCAGGTTCTATAGCCTTTTATGACAACTGTTCTACTGCAGAAAGAAATGACAACGTATTGCGGGGAAAAAAAATCTGCCTCGTCATCTAAAGATACATGATTGCCTGAGCGTATATCATGCATGCCACATGACTGACTGAAATCCTCTTCTTCCCCCCCCCAGCTATGGGTAAATAGCAGGAGAGACCAGGTTCTATAGCCTTGGATGACAACTGTTCTACCGCAGAAAGAAATGACAACGTATTGCGGGGAAAAAATCTGCCTCGTCATCTAAAGATACATGATTGCCTGAGCGTATATCATGCATGCCACATGACTGACTGAAATCCTCTTCTTCCCCCCCAGCTATGGGTAAATAGCAGGAGAGACCAGGTTCTATAGCCTTTATGACAACTGTTCTACCGCAGAAAGAAATGACAACGTATTGCGGGCCAAAAAATCTGCCTCGTCATCTAAAGATACATGATTGCCTGAGCGTATATCATGCATGCCACATGACTGACTGAAATCCTCTTCTTCCCCCCCAGCTATGGGTAAATAGCAGGAGAGACCAGGTTCTATAGCCTTTTATGACAACTGTTCTACCGCAGAAAGAAATGACAACGTATTGCGGGGAAAAAATCTGCCTCGTCATCTAAAGATACATGATTGCCTGAGCGTATATCATGCATGCCACATGACTGACTGAAATCCTCTTCTTCCCCCCAGCTATGGGTAAATAGCAGGAGAGACCAGGTTCTATAGCCTTTATGACAACTGTTCTACCGCAGAAAGAAATGACAACGTATTGCGGGGAAAAAAATCTGCCTCGTCATCTAAAGATACATGATTGCCTGAGCGTATATCATGCATGCCACATGACTGACTGAAATCCTCTTCTTCCCCCAGCTATGGGTAAATAGCAGGAGAGACCAGGTTCTATAGCCTTTTATGACAACTGTTCTACCGCAGAAAGAAATGACAACGTATTGCGGGGAAAAAATCTGCCTCGTCATCTAAAGATACATGATTGCCTGAGCGTATATCATGCATGCCACATGACTGACTGAAATCCTCTTCTTCCCCCCAGCTATGGGTAAATAGCAGGAGAGACCAGGTTCTATAGCCTTGATGACAACTGTTCTACCGCAGAAAGAAATGACAACGTATTGCGGGGAAAAAATCTGCCTCGTCATCTAAAGATACATGATTGCCTGAGCGTATATCATGCATGCCACATGACTGACTGAAATCCTTTTCTTCCCCCCCAGCTATGGGGTAAATAGCAGGAGAGACCAGGTTCTATAGCCTTGATGACAACTGTTCTACCGCAGAAAGAAATGACAACGTATTGCGGGGAAAAAAATCTGCCTCGTCATCTAAAGATACATGATTGCCTGAGCGTATATCATGCATGCCACATGACTGACTGAAATCCTCTTCTTCCCCCAGCTATGGGTAAATAGCAGGAGAGACCAGGTTCTATAGCCTTGGATGACAACTGTTCTACCGCAGAAAGAAATGACAACGTATTGCGGGGAAAAAAAAAATCTGCCTCGTCATCTAAAAAGATACATGATTGCCTGAGCGTATATCATGCATGCCACATGACTGACTGAAATCCTCTTCTTCCCCCCAGCTATGGGTAAATAGCAGGAGAGACCAGGTTCTATAGCCTTGGATGACAACTGTTCTACCGCAGAAAGAAATGACAACGTATTGCGGGGAAAAAAATCTGCCTCGTCATCTAAAGATACATGATTGCCTGAGCGTATATCATGCATGCCACATGACTGACTGAAATCCTCTTCTTCCCCCCCAGCTATGGGTAAATAGCAGGAGAGACCAGGTTCTATAGCCTTTATGACAACTGTTCTACCGCAGAAAGAAATGACAACGTATTGCGGGGAAAAAATCTGCCTCGTCATCTAAAGATACATGATTGCCTGAGCGTATATCATGCATGCCACATGACTGACTGAAATCCTCTTCTTCCCCCCAGCTATGGGTAAATAGCAGGAGAGACCAGGTTCTATAGCCTTGATGACAACTGTTCTACCGCAGAAAGAAATGACAACGTATTGCGGGGAAAAAAATCTGCCTCGTCATCTAAAGATACATGATTGCCTGAGCGTATATCATGCATGCCACATGACTGACTGAAATCCTCTTCTTCCCCCCCCCAGCTATGGGTAAATAGCAGGAGAGACCAGGTTCTATAGCCTTTTATGACAACTGTTCTACCGCAGAAAGAAATGACAACGTATTGCGGGGAAAAAAATCTGCCTCGTCATCTAAAGATACATGATTGCCTGAGCGTATATCATGCATGCCACATGACTGACTGAAATCCTCTTCTTCCCCCCCCAGCTATGGGTAAATAGCAGGAGAGACCAGGTTCTATAGCCTTGGATGACAACTGTTCTACCGCAGAAAGAAATGACAACGTATTGCGGGGAAAAAAATCTGCCTCGTCATCTAAAGATACATGATTGCCTGAGCGTATATCATGCATGCCACATGACTGACTGAAATCCTCTTCTTCCCCCAGCTATGGGTAAATAGCAGGAGAGACCAGGTTCTATAGCCTTGATGACAACTGTTCTACCGCAGAAAGAAATGACAACGTATTGCGGGGAAAAAAATCTGCCTCGTCATCTAAAGATACATGATTGCCCTGAGCGTATATCATGCATGCCACATGACTGACTGAAATCCTCTTCTTCCCCCCCCAGCTATGGGTAAATAGCAGGAGAGACCAGGTTCTATAGCCTTTATGACAACTGTTCTACCGCAGAAAGAAATGACAACGTATTGCGGGGAAAAAATCTGCCTCGTCATCTAAAGATACATGATTGCCTGAGCGTATATCATGCATGCCACATGACTGACTGAAATCCTCTTCTTCCCCCCCCAGCTATGGGTAAATAGCAGGAGAGACCAGGTTCTATAGCCTTGATGACAACTGTTCTACCGCAGAAAGAAATGACAACGTATTGCGGGTAAAAAATCTGCCTCGTCATCTAAAGATACATGATTGCCTGAGCATATATCATGCATGCCACATGACTGACTGAAATCCTCTTCTTCCCCCCCAGCTATGGGTAAATAGCAGGAGAGACCAGGTTCTATAGCCTTGGATGACAACTGTTCTACCGCAGAAAGAAATGACAACGTATTGCGGGGAAAAAAATCTGCCTCGTCATCTAAAGATACATGATTGCCTGAGCGTATATCATGCATGGTACATGAGTGACTGAAATCCTCTTCTTCTTCCCCCCAGCTATGGGTAAATAGCAGGAGAGACCAGGTTCGATAGCCTTGAATGTCAACTGTTCTACCGCAGAAAGAAATGGCAACGTACAGCAGATAAAAATCTGCTTTAAGTTTGTTTGTTTTTTTCTACAAAAGAATGCTGAGAATACCATGGACGGACCATGCGTGCAACGACGAGGTTTTAGACGAAATGGGAAACAAAACATTCTGTACGTTGTTCGTCTTGTTCCCCAGCTACTTCTCCCTCTTTAAACTTCTAATTACTTTCTCCTGTTCTTCTTTCTCTTCCTCACTGTGCTTTCCTATCTCTCCTCCTCTTTTCTATAATTCTTCTTGGCTTTCTCTTCACTTTGTCCTATCTCTCATTTACAGCTTTTCTTCCTTTGCTGATCATTGTCTTTCTTTCTGTCTTTTTTCTCTCCATTCTCTTTTTCTTTCGTTTCCATTTTTCTTTCTTCCTCTTTATCTCTTTTAAGTCTTATTTTTCTTACTTTCCTTCTCCCTTTTTATTCTTTCCCTGTTCTCCATTTTCCTATAGCATCTATCAGATTTTCTTTCTTTCTTTTTTCTTTCTTTCTTTCTTTCTTTCTTTCTTTTTCCTTTCTTTCTTTCTTTCTTTCTTTCTTTCTTTCTTTCTTTCTTTCTTCTTCTTCTTCTTCTTCTTCTTCTTCTTCTGCTGCTGCTCCTGCTGCTTTGTACTTCTTTGTTGTTGTTGTTTTTTTTTCATTTACTTTTGCTTTTATCTACTTCATTTACTTTTTTCAGCATTTTTGACTCCGTATTCACATTTTCTTTCCTTCTTTCTTTCTTTCTTTCTTTCTTCATCTCTCAATTCCCTACATTTTCATCTGAGAAAATCTCTTCTTTCTTTTTCTTCGTCTCCCATTTTTCTTTGAGTTTCTTTCTTCTTTCTCTTCTTTCTTTCTTTCTTTCTTTCTTTCTTTTTTCTTTCTTTCTTTCTTTATTTCTTTCTTTCTTTCATTCTTTCTTCATTTCTCAATTCCCTACATTTTCATCTGAGCTAATCTCTTCCTTTTTCTTCGTCTCCTTATTATCTGCATTTTCCTTTGAGCTTCTTTCTTTCTTTCTTTTTTCTTTCTTTCTTTCTTTCTTTCTTTCTTTCTTTGTCATCTCTCAACTCTCTATATTCTCTTCTGAGCACATTTCCATCTTTTTTCTTTCATTTATTCATTTTTTTTCTTTCTTTCTTTCTTTCTTTCTTTCTTTCTTTCTTTCTTTTTCTTTCTTTCTTTCTTTCTTTCTTTCTTTCTTTAAATTTTCCTTTGTCTTTGTTTCTTTTTTCTCTTATATTTATTTTCTTTCCCTATTTTTTAATTATTTTTTCCTGACCCTATTCAGTTTATTTTTTCCTATTCTTTTCCTTTCATTTTTCTCTTTATTTTACTTATACTTATTTGAGTTCCTTTCCCCTCTCCATTTTAAAATACCTTGCTTCTTTTTCGCATGACTTCTTCGTTGATGTAAACACCTCTCTTTGAATTTTCTTTACATTAGTTTTACTGCTTTTCTCTTTCTTTCTTTCTTTCATTTTTCATTCTTTCTTTCTTTCTTTCTTTCTTTCTTTCTTTCTTTCTTTCTTTCTTTCTTTCTTTCACCATTATCGTTCTTTTTTTTCTTTTTAGGTTTCATTTTCTGTCTTTTTTTATATGTAATTATTACGTTTATTTTTTTCCTTTCTTTCTTTTATTCTTTTCCATTTTTACATTTTCATTCCACATCACCGTATTTTTTATTTTTTCCTTAACTTTTTTCTTCCCCGTTTTTCCTTTTTTTTTTCTTTATGACTTCATTCATCTCTCTTTTCTGTTTATTTAGTTTCTTCTCTCACTTCTTTCTTTCTTTCTTTCTTTGCATTTTTCTTTTTCTGTTTCTTTGTTCTTTTAAAATACCTTCCTTCTTTCTCGCATGACTTTTTCGTTGATGTAAACACCTCTCTTTCAATTCCCTTTACATTAGTTTTACTGCTTTTCTCTTTCTTTCACTCTTTTTTCTTTCTTTCTTTATCTTTCTTTCTTCATTTTTTTCACCATTATCGTCCTTTTCTTCTTCTTCGGTTCAATTTTCTGTCTTTTTTTTATATATAATTATTACGTTTATTTTTTTCTTCTCTTCCTTTCATTCTTTTTTATTTTTATATTTTCATTCTACATCACCGTATTTTTCATTTTTTCCTTAACTTTTTTCTTCCCTTTTTTTTCTTTTCTTTTATGACTTCATTCACCTCCCGTTTCTGTTTATTTGGTTTCTTCTTTCTTTCTTTCTTTCTTTCTTTCTTTGTCCTTTTTCTATTTTTTACGATTAATCTTATTGTCGATTTCATTTATTTTCTCTCTCCTTTCTTTATTTCATTATTTTTCTCTTTATTTCATTCATATTTTCTTTCTGTCTTGCAATGCCATTCCTGCTTCGATTCCTTCTGATATCTATTTTCCTTCATTCTCATCCAATCACAATAGCGTCTCTTTCAAACCCCTGCCTCTGTTTGAATTGGCGCCGACCGAAATCTCACGAGATGTCAGCACTAACCACAAGGGACTTGCAGCTCCATCAAGATGGTGACCGATTAAAAGAGGGGTAGGTTGGTAGAGAATCGAGTTGTATTCATTCGATAACCACTTGTGGTTCGCTTCAAGTTTTAAATATCTCAGATGTCTCCCCTGAGTGACTAATCGCTCTGTGTCCCGTGTGTGAAGTTTCCTAAACGGTATCACATATCAGGTGGGTTTAAACGATTTCGAGTTATTAGCGATGAGGGAAAATGGATGAAAGATAGCATTTAGAAAGACAGTTTGTTGCTGAGTAATAGGTGCACTAATGTAGTCACACTGACTCATATATATATATATATATATATATATATATATATATATATATATATATATATATATATATATATATATATTGATAGATAGAAAATATTAGTTGTCAATGCATGCATAAATATATATATATATATATATATATATATATATATATATATATATATAAGCAAATATATGGATATAGATCCGACAGTATGAAGAAAAATATATACGGAAAAAAATAAAAACAAAATCCTTATATACGATTATGCTGTTTTAATGTTAATATGTCATATTAATATTAAAAACAGCATAATCATATATAAGGATTTTTTTTGTTTTTTTTCCGTATATATTTTTATTTATATATATATATATATATATATATATATATATATATATATATATATATATATATGTGTGTGTGTGTATGAATGAAGAAATATAGTTTTAAGGTGTGCTATATTTATGGGATAAAGTGCTCAATATCAGAGATAGAGCGTAAATAAATATAAAAAAAAAGTTAAGATTCAAGTCAAAACTCAGAGGCGACAGGCTGTTTTTCGTTAGACGCAATCGTCAGTGACGATTGCGTCAAAATGAGACAGCCTGTCGATTCTGAGTGTTAACATCAATGTTCATTATATATATATATATATATATATATATATATATATATATAAATAAATATAAAGAAATATAATCTTAAGGTGTGCTATATTTATAGGATAAAGTGCTCAATATCAGAGATAGAGCGTGTGTAAATATAAAAAGTGAACATAGAAGTCAACACTTAGAGGCGACAGTCTGTTTCATGCTAGATGCAATCGTCAGGCCACAGTTGACTTCTATGTTCGCTTTTATATATATATATATATATATATATATATATATACAATGATACTGACATAAGGAAAATCTAGACATCCCTTGTTCAATTCAAGTAGAATATTCTGTAACCATGGAAACGTGATTTTAGCTGTGTCTTTTTAAAACCCGGTAATTTTTAAAAAGTTACTCCAAAAATTCGCTTGAAGATGAAATGGAACTAATGCTTTTAATTCAATTGCAAAATTAAATTCAGGGTTTTAGCTTCTATTTTTTGAAACATGGTTATAACTGTGTAGCGGAAAACCCCATATTTTAAATCAATTAATTTATAATATTAATGCTCTGTAAATTTACATTGAGCACTATTTTGTGAAAATAAAAATATCTATAAGAACACCGGATTTTATATCTTACTGTTCTTTCTTTTTATTTATATACATACAGTAGCGTCCAAAACTAAGGGACAAAACTTTAAAACCTAATATTTGTTAGAAATAACAACTGTGAAAAGCTGAAATTTTGACAACTGGTAGTCGTTATCATCCATAATAACATACTAAAATTTGAATCATTTGCAAAGGATAGAAAAAGAATTATAACACTTATTTATTTATTTTCAAAATAGTATCGTCCAAAAGTAAGGGACACAATTGAGAAAAACAATGTAAACAGTATGCTATATTCAAATTTTTTGATTTCCTGTAAAGAATAAGTTTTACTTAGTAATTTGTAAACGTTGCATCAGCCGGCACCATGGCGAAACGCCAAAAACTTGATTACTCTGTGAGACAAGCTATTGTGAAGCTACACAAGGAAAAGCACACCATTAGAGAGATTTCAGAGAAAGTGAAACGTTCCAAGAGTGTTGTAGGCAGGGTTGTTAAATCCTACAATGATACTGGCAAAATAGTTAGTGCTTTTAAAACCGGCAGACCCCGCAAAACTTCGGCAAGAGAAGATCGAATAATGCAGCGTATGTCATTAAAGGACCGTTTTAAGTCTTGCACAGAAATTAAAAGGGTTATGAATAGTACCTCATGTGTTAATGTGTCAAGACAGACTGTTTGTAGACGACTGCAAGAAATAGGGCTGTTTAATCGAACCCCTGGGAAGAAATCACTTGTTAGTTCGAAGAACAAGAAGAAGATATTAGAGTTTGCAAACAGGTATGTAATTTGGACATATGAAAATTGGGCAAAAGTATTTTTCAGTGATGAAAGCAAGTTTAATTTATTTGGAAATGATGGAAAAAACAATGTAAAGAGACGTATTGGTGAAAGATTAAGTGCAAAGTGTACTAAGAAAACTGTCAAGTTTGGGGGCGGAAGGGTCATGGTATTTGGAATGTTTTCTAGCCAAGGTACAACGCCTCTTGTCCGGTTACAAACTCGTGTAAACGCGCAGATCTATAAAAACATTGTTCAAGATCATGTTGTGCCAATCATACAGAATTCAGGTTTCGATAGGGCTACTTTTATGCAAGATAATGCCCCATGTCACAAGGCAAAGGTGGTAATGAGTTACCTTAGCGAGCAAGATTTGGAAATTATGGATTGGCCACCGCAAAGTCCTGACTTAAATCCAATAGAAAATCTTTGGAAATCCTTAGGAGTGAAAGTTATGGAAAGAAATCCCACTAACACGGAGGATTTGTGGGTGAAGCTTCAAGAAGAATGGTCTAAAATTAGTATCGAGGATTGTCAAGAACTGATTCGTTCTTGTAATCGAAGATGTGCAGCTGTCATTGAGAGCAAGGGCTCATTTACTAAATATTGATTGTACATGTATTTTTATGGTTTTTTTGACGTTTACATTGTTTTTCTCAATTTTGTCCCTTACTTTTGGACGTTCCAAATTTGAAAATAAATAAATAATTGTTATAATTCTTTTTCTATCCTTTGCAAATGATTCAAATTTTAGTATGTTATTATGGATGATAACGACTACCAGTTGTCAAAATTTCAGCTTTTCACAGTTGTTATTTCTAACAAATATTAGGTTTTAAAATTTTGTCCCTTAGTTTTGGACGCTACTGTATATATATATATATATATATATATATATATATATATATATAGCAAATGAGTCGACCTAAACAGTGTAAGGGACGCAACTCTTTCCGTCTGAAAATGTCTGACACGCTGCAACGCAAAACGATGTACACCAAGCACGGGTGAAATGTTGGTCTGCCAATGTCTCCAAGAAACCTGCTTTTATGGAGCCCAGACACACCTCATTAGCATGTGTGTAACGCGACTTTGCGTGACTGCACGAGACCGTGAATATTAAAAGTCACGGACGCCATTTTGAATCTTTTTTCTTTCCTTTCTCAACCCACAGGCCAGGCAGATGCGAGAACGTTTGTGAGGTAGGCCGTTTCTATTTTCCCCACAATATATATATATATATATATATATATATATATATATATATATATATATTACATGAATCATTCATACAAAAAACAGATTAGTGAAGTTAATGATATAAATGGCGAGAATACATCTTCGCAAACAAATTTATTAAACTTACATTAACCCACGAACCTCTAGATGTATGTTGTGATCCCTGTTTTTAATAAATTCAACTTGTATAAGGTCTTTTTTTTTCAAGTACTTTCATCTGTTCATACAGATATCATCAGGCATGGAAATTGATTTGTTTTGTTTTTTTAAATACATCCAGGTAATAACGGGACATGAAAGATTAGATGTGAGTCGAAATATGTTTTTTAGAAATGTGTTATTGTTTAACAGTAAGAAATTATGGAGTGTGCGGTCGCAACGCTAAGGTTGAATTTTTTGAAGATTTAAAAGAGAATGCGTTTTTTTACTAATATGGTAATTGAAGAATTCTTTTGTTGTAGTAATTTTTTTCAGTCGATGTGACATGAACTAAATTGTTCAATAAATAGAGCAATGTCGCAGCTATTATCCCGAAAGTTGCACGTCGGATCAGTTCTTTTTAAATCAAATATGTGGTGCAGTTCAATTTATATTACATGAATCATTCATACAAAAAACAGATGAGTGAAGTTTATGATATAAATATATATGCATAACACTTAGACGTTCTTTTTAGTGTAGACGCCGTGTTTTTTTTTTATTTTTAAACAGTTTATTTATTATTGTGTACCGGCCCGAATAAACGAGGCATTTTATTAAGGAAAAATATGCGGGATCTTTTTCTTTAATAAGATTTCAGGTATATTCAGCCCGGTATACTGTAATAAATATATTGTTTTAAAATAAAAACGGAACGTCTACTCAAATATGGGCAACCACTAAAAATAACGTTTATGTGATAAAAGTCTGCCGGATTAATAAAGTAAAAAAAAAATCTACTATTTCTTTAACACACACACACACACACACATCTCTCTCTCTCACTCTGCCTCTCTCTCTCTCTCTCTGTGTGTGTGTGTCTCTCTCTCTCTCTCTCTCTCTCTCTATATATATATATATATATATATATATATATATATATATTATTGTTGTGGTAGGATCCACCTAATTTGCATAGTGGAGTACCGACCATATAAATATGGTTGGTACCGGAAAGAGAGGGAGGAATCAAGAG